GCAAGACCTTTTCTCAAAAAGACCAAAAAGAAAAAAAAAGTTGTGATGCTGCCAGGCATGGTGCCTCATGCCTATAATTCCACAACTTGGGAGGCTGAGGCAAGAGGATCACTGTGAGTTTGAGGCCAGTCTGGTCTACACATGTGAGTTTAAGGCCAGTCTGAACTACACAGCTAGATCCTGGCTCAACAAAACAAAGAGAGTTGTGATGCTATATGAAATACTGATTTATTACCTTTGGGAAATGAATCTGCTTTTTTTAAAAATGGAAAAATCTATGTAGAAGCAAATCTCATGAATATGAGAAAATCTCATGAATGAGTGACTGACTAGGTAACAAAATCAGTGATTGTAATTACACTATAGTATTATTTAACAGCAGATAAACTGAACATAATAGAACATGCAAATCACCAAAGAAGAGTTGTAAAGTTTAAAACATATTTATTGAGATTTAATATATATTTGTACATTGAGATGCAGTACTATGATTTTATGTATATATACAAAGTTCAATGACCAAATCAGAAAAATAACATCTTCTCTTCAAACATCAATCATTTCCATGTTTCTAAATTTTTAATAGGTGCGTAACTGAAATTTTTTAAAAAAATCTACTTTGAAAAGTGCATGTAAAAATATTTAATTTTAGGAAAGACTTCTGCAATATAAACAAATTGATTCTAAAATGTATATCTAAAGGCAAAAATAGTAGAACAGCCAGAAGAATTATGTAATAAAAGAGCAAGTTTGGAGGACTATTGTAATCCATGTATTGTAATCTCTTTCCCAGTTTTCCTCACAATCCAAACAATTATATTTGTGATTCCATTGAGATGTTATTGGAAGCCCGGCAAGTTAATTTATCATCTCCATTGCAACCCATGGCAAGAGTAAAGACACCAAGACATATCTAAGGTTAAGGGCAACCAAGGGGTCCTAAGTCCAATTCAAATGAGGATTTGTGACAAAGTCTCTCGATCCAAGGCCTCTCCCAGAATGTATTATCTTGTGAAGAAGGGGGTGGGCTCAAGGATGAGTGACAGTGAGTATGTGAGTAACTTGAGCTGGCTAGCCAGGTGGGGATGAAAATATCTTCGCAATATGCAAGGAGATAAGCATTACTTGATTAGGCTAGCACACAAAAAAATTTAGGAGGCTGTTGTTTCAGTTTTTGGTATGTAAAGTTTTGTTACGTGGGAGGTCTACCCTCTTCCTTCCAGGCTTAGACCCAGTTGTTATTCCTGGGGCTGAGTGGCCCTGTCATCCCACTACACTGGGACCTTCAGAGGGCACTATTCTAGGAAACAGGAGACTACCAGACTGACTTTAAGGATTACATTTCAGTACTTCAACTGGCCTTATTTGCATTGCTCAGAATCAACTGAAGAGAGAAGGGAAATATCATAGCCAGCTCTGTATATATCAATATATAGAAATAAGACTCGATTTAACTAACGTTATAGCAATTGTTCTACATTCAAGGAGGGAGGCCCCATTTACTCTTCTATAGCTATATCTGATTTTTTTTTTTAAATCGGTACCAGGGATCGAACTCACGACCGCCTGCTTGCAAGGCAGGTGCTTATGCCGCTGAGCTAAATCCCCAGTCCCTGGCTATATCTGATTTAAGACAACATAAAACAAGTAATCAAAACTGTGTGATATTGCCAAAGGGGCAGAAATACATATCAATGGAACAGAATACCATGTCCACAATATGACCAAACAAATATGGCCAACTTATTTTTGACAAATGTCTGGAAGACAGTGATTTTTCATAAAGTTAAAATAGATTTAACATTGAAATCAGTTATCATTCTACTTTATTTATCATCAGGAGGTCAAGGGATCATATGTTAGAATGAAGACTATGATAAAACTACATTACAAAATTTTACATAAGGTCACTTCAAGAAGTACAGTTGTGGGAGATACAAACCAAGTAATATTTGGAACTGTAAGGCTAAAAGAACTACACATAGAGTAAAATCTCATTGACAAAGTTGTTTCTCATGGAAGCATATGTTAATGATCCTGAAAAATGTGTAAAATATATTATAATTGAACAATTAAGTAAATTGATGAACTTTTATGAGAGTGAAATTTCTGATAGTTGAAAAGGATAAGGAAAAAGGTAAAATAGAATGAACTATCGCATTGGATTAGATTTGGGAACATCAAAATGAACTCCTGTTTAGTGGAATATGGGTACAGATCTAGAGGCACACACACAATAATTAGTATACACACATTTTCTGCTGTCTTCTGGGAGGAACTTGAAGTAATCACACACCAGCAAAAAAGGACACAACTGGCCTCCAGAACTTTGTTTCAAATACCATTTTCCAATATGAAGAACTAGAATTCTTGGAAGAATGGCTGATTCTGGAAATTTCTATACATGATGAGACATAAGCATCTTATAAGTGCTAGTATCTTAGTTATTTTCTTATTTGGGGGACAAGATAACCAATACCTACAACTTAAAGGAGAAGAGGATTATTTTGGTTCATGTATTCAGTCGATGGTCAAGTAGGTTATAAGTGAGAAACAGTATTGTGGAAGGATCTGGCAGAGTAAAGCTTCTCACATCAAGGTGGTGCAGAAACAGGACAGAGGGAGGAACCAGAGAGAAAGTGTTATCTTTCTGGGTCATGTCTCCTAGTGAATGGACTAAATAGATCTCGCCTCTAACAGCACAACTCATCTGCTTAACTCATTAGTGGATTGGAGCACCACTGATAAATATAGTGTCCCAGTGACATAACTACCTTCCCAAAGCCCTACCTCTGAGTACATGGGGATTTATGACATCATTCTAGATATAACCAAAAACATTCTGGCTGTGGGGAAAAGACCTGCATGCATCTCTCTATGGAAAATGTATTTAGTCCATCTCTAAGAGTCACCAAAGTTTTAACAGTTCCAATACTGCTAAAAAGTCAATTCCAATGTCTCCTCTGAGACACAAGCCAAAACCCTTAGATTTAAACTCTGTACAAATTTTTTTTTAAAAGTTAAAACACTTACAACATGCAATGGCACAGGGTAAAAATACTCATTTAAAAAGGGAGAAAGAAAACAGAAAACAGTAGAACCAAAGTAAGACCACTAACTTGAACAAGGATTGTATCCTGTATTTCTGTGTCAAGCAACCAAGGTAAGGTGTGGCTAGATATGAACTCACAAAGGGCTTGCATGGCCAAATGCCTGTAACACTGTCAGCTGCAGAACCTCATGGTCTTTTTTGAAGAGACACTGCCTGTAGTTTTTCTCTACATATATTTCATGTTCCTGTCATCTCCAACTTTCTGTGGCCTCTGTCCCACTTTTGGCTTCTTTCTCACACTTGTCAGACAGGCACTGTTCCACTGAGCTATATCCATAGCCCCTGTTTTGTCTTTTAAACACAAGGTCTCACTATGTAGTTCAAGCTGGCCTTCAGCTCACTATGTAACTCAAGCTGGCTTCGAACTCATAGTGATCTTCCTGCCTGAGCCTCCTGAAATTATCAGCAAGTACTACTATAACTGGCTGAAGAAAAGTTTTTAACATAATTATTGTTGTTAGCTGGAGCAAGACGAAATGATATGTAACTACAAATATCCTAGAAACACAGTACAATCATCATGAAAAAAAGACAAGATCATAATTTAAAAAAAAGTTGCTACAGTATGAATGTTTCCTCCTCCAAAATTCATAATGAAATCTGTCATTGTCACAGTATTGAGATATATGATTTCTGGAGTGTGATCAGGCCACAAGGGCTCTACCTGTACCTTGTCTCTTTTTGTCCTGCTTTCCTTTATGTAATCATGTACATATCAATAGGGTCCTTGCCAAATGTTGTTCTTTTGTTCTTGGACTTTCCAACCTCCAGAACCAAATAATCAATAAATTTCTGTTCATTACAAATCACCCAGCCACAGCCAGGCATGGTGTTGTAGGCCTGTAATTCCAGTTACTAGGGAAGCTGAGGTAGGTGTATTCTAAGATTGAGGCCAGTCTGAAAATTCAGAAAGACCCTATCTCGAAATAAAAGGAAAAAGAGTGAGAAGTGTAGCTTGATGGCAGAGTGCTTGCCTAGCATATGCACAGCTCTAGATTCAATTCCCAGCATGGCAAATACATGCAAACACACACACACAGACAACCTTGTATCAGTTACTCTGTTAAGAGCCACAGAGATAGGAGGACAGGAAGAAACTTTTGCTACTAGAGGTTTGCAAAAGAATGAAGTGAAAGGGAAAGTATTTGAATATAAAATTCAGTCACTGAGGGATCTCACAAAATAAAGAACCTGGGCATGAAAATACCACCTACGATCAAAGTTCCAGTAATTCAATTACTTTTAATATAAAAGTATGATTAAACAACAGATGGAACTTTGGCTAAAGGAATAATTTTACAAATGTATTTGAGTAATGCTAATTTTAAAAGTTTTAAAGTTTTTATCTGTCAAATGACATCATTTTATGGAAATTATGCATGAGGAAATTTGCTAACTAGCAAAGAACTCAGAAGCGATGACTACCAAAGACTAGGAAACTGGAATCAGGTACCAAGTCCTTGAAATGAGTTCTAGTGTTCTGTGATAGTGTTCTATAAACAGGATCAGGGATATTAAGCTTATATAGCTGATGCAGATCAAGAAACTGATAATGAGGAGGGAGATGATAAAAGTCACCTAGGAAGGTAAGGGCTCTGACAACAGAGCTAAGAAGTAAAGTAACTGTATTGAGTGATATTTCTCCCCACTCTTCTCATTTCCGCTCCTCCCCTTCTCTCCTGTTTGTCTCTCCTTTGCTTTTCTTTTTAATCAATTATTATCCCTGACAGGTAAATTACTAGAATGCAAAAAGTTTTTGGACAAAAGCTGTGGGGTTATGAAATTTCCGTACATACCAAATAAGAATCTAACATTTTTGAATATGTAAACACAAAATACAATTTTTAAATGCTCCTATATCACATTTTTACATTAATTGCGTACATACATTTTTAGAGACATTTCCATATGCTTGGCTCGTGCAATTGCTTCATCTCTCTCCTTGATGGCTAACTGCAGTCTAGACATAACAGCTTCATCACGTTCCCTCTGTGCAAAATACACTTCTTCAACTAGAGCTGGCAAAATAGATAACCCATAATCAATAAAAGAAAATAAAGAAGAAATACATTAGTCAAAAATAAAAAATAAAAAAAATGTTATTGTAAAGGACATTTATTTATTCAATTGTATTTGTATCACTTAATTACTTCATAAAACATTTTTAACAGCTACTGCAAAATTGAGATGACAATTCACACACTTTAAAATTTTAAGAGTAAAAAGTCCAAGAACAAAGTGAGTTTGTGAACTAAAGGAAATTCACATATACCACAGACACACATATTTTTTCTATAACCACATGAAGAGCAAACTGGCAATGTTTATTAATGTTGAATGTGTCCTTATTCAGTAACTTAGCGAGTCCATTATTTGGTATGAAACCAATAGAAATTCTTGCACGTGTGTAAATGGAAATATGTATAAAAATACCTAGTGTCACATTGCTTATACTAACACAAATTTACAAATAACCCAAATGCCCATTAACATAAGCAAGAATAAATTGCTATACATTCGGAATGGGATATTATCTTGCATTTAAAATGAATTAACTATAAACAAATGAACAAAGCTCAAAATTTGCTGGCAAAAATAGCAAGTTGCAAAACAAAGCAACTCTGTCTACTATTGATGCAAAGATACAACTACTGAAGTTAGCCATAAACCATAAAACAAGCATGTCAATGATAAATACCAAACGTAAGATGGGCATTACTTCAGTGGGATTACTTCAGGGGAGGAGAAGAAATGGATCCGGAAGAATAAAAGGGGCAGAGTTGTGCTGGCATAGTGCTGTACATCTGCAAAGAGCACGTGGCACACAATACAAATGGCATCACTTAGATTTGTACACTATATGAGACGTTGTATCTTATGAAATAGTTATTTCTTAAGCATAATTTCAACTGTTAACATACTTGAGACCTTATCTAATTTTTAAAACACTACTGTAATGTCAGATAAGTACAGTTTAAATACCAGATCACTGTAACAAATATTATTTGTAATGGCAAACCACTAAATAAACTTAGAAAAAAAAGCTTTAGTTTATGTAACAGTGAGTACATGCCCAAGGTTTGTTACAAATTAATAATCAAGACAGCTATTACTACATTAAGCAAGATAGCTATTACTACATTAAGCTATAAGTTGAAGAGAAAAATCCTGATATATATAACAAGTACTGTGTACCATTTTCATGACTGAGCATGTACATACCTATAAAATGTAATGTGCAATGGCAAAGAAAAAGACAAAATCATTTCCAAGAAGCTGAGTCTCAAGAAAGAAAAGTATATCTATTCTTTTTTCCATTCACTCTTCACGAAACATTTGGCTAACTTCAGTGTCAATCATGTCTAGTTTCAAGGGCTCTGTAACATAATATTCTAGTAAGTTCTTCACATCCTGGAACATACGTTCATTATATAGAGAGAGACAGATGGTAGAGAGAAAAGCATAAAATGAGAAATGTGGGTAAGTATATACAGTGTGGTGAATAGTAATAAACACTTCGAAAAAGAAGACTGTATGAGAGAACAGATGATTTTGCAGAAAGGAAATACAGCAGATTATTTTTGAAAAGTATTGCTTTTTAATGTGACATTTTGATACCTTAAAATAAAGGAAGAGGAGATATGTGTGGATGTATTGTCACACACATATGCAAGTACATATAAAAGTTAGTTCTTTCTTTATAGATAGATAAGAAAAGTAGATTAAGGCAAAGAATTAACAGTGTGAGATCTTGGGAGTTTCTGATGAAAAAAAAAAAAAACACGCTGATGTGATTGGAGTAGAATTAAGAGTTAGACAGCAAGAGTTCTTGGAACTTGCCCTGGGTCTAACAAGCCATAATAAAGGCTTTAGATATCCTCTAAGCAGAGTGACAGGTAAATTCTGAGTGAAGAAATGAGAGGGTTATATTTATTTATGAAACTGAATACTATGGCTTCAAGATGAGAAACAGTAGGACAAGAGTGGAAACAAAAAAGGTTGTATCAGTAATCTAAGAATTCACATCAATAACTCCCATACATGAGCCATTTCCCGAAACATTTAAGTATCTGGAAATAAATAAAGATGCTAAACTCAAACATGAATATTATATTAAAGAACTTTTGGAACAAGAACAATTTGATCAGATCTGTTTTAAAGAATAACTGAATGTATTTGTAAGACGGGTTGGGGTAAAGTTGGAGGTTGGATTATATGTCTATTATTGGATTATAATGGTACAAATGAAAATTAATGAAATTCTGAACCAATACAATAGCAACAGAAATGAAAAAGAGAAAGAAAGTGGGTTCCATTCACAAGAAAATAACAGAACCTAAGAGTTAAGCATTTACTGAAATTTAGAGGACAAAACACACAGCTGAATTACTAAGCCATTCCTTCACTTTTCAATAGTATAATCTACAAAATGTAGAGATTAAAACAATTACTCCTCACTACTGACAAATTAACTTCAAGGGAAAAAAAAAAAACCCCAGGTTTTAGCTGGTATCTGCAGCCCGGTTCTAGTTCTCTGTAAGATGCAATAAGCATGCTAAACTTTCTCTCCACAGGAAGACAACTGTAAAATCTGGACAGAATGCACAGCACAGCTATTTAAACTAAAAATACTAGAATCCAAGCCACTGCTGAAATGGCTAAGAGATTGGCATTTCACTTCACTGTTAGGGTCCCCAGCCTAAATCCATCACAGCCCTGTCTTAATTACTTTGTTATTGCTGAGACACAACATGTGAAACCTACAACTCAAAGAAAAGGATTGTTTTGCCTTGGGGTTACAGCCCCTAGTCAGCCAGCTCCAGGACAAAATAGCATGACAGAGGGGCAGAGGGGAGGAAAAACTGCACTTTACTAAGTCTAGAAAGTAGAAAAGAGAGTAAAGGTGAAGCCAAAGAGGTAGACAACCTTGCCAGATTTGGCCATATGACTGGCAGACCCCACCTACTAACACCAAGCCAGCTGCAGTGCTGCCTCCAATCACCTTTCAAAAGACCCGCCTCTGCATGCATGAGGCTTGGAACATCCAGCTATAAACCATAAAAAGCCCGATGGCCGCAGAGAACACTGTGCTACAGACAATGATACAGGAGAAATTTTTTTATCTACGTGCAGAAAACTCCTAACAGTTTAGAAACACTGAGGGAATCTGTTGTTTCTTTAACTGTATTTCTAAATGGTTAGCCCCACAGATGACCTCACAAGGAAAGCATTAGCAACAAAGCAATTGTTGGCAAGAAAGTAGGGTAGCTAAAGCCACAAGGGAAGAGAACCTTACTTACCTCTCCATTTGGTGAACTCCAGGGAAAATGATAAATCCTGTTCTCCTCTGGGTTCCTGACATTGGATTAATATCAAAAGTCAAGTTTACAGGCAGAAGATCAAAAGTAAAAATTAAAAAAATCCAAAAATGGAAAAATTGTAGAAAACAAGGATCTTAAGAAAGCAACAAAGTGATACACCTCTTGTGACAAGAAGCCATCTGTAAGCCTGACCAGTATGTGCATGAATCTGATCCTTATTAGTGTGTCAAAGGCTTTGAGACATAAGCTTAAGAAAAAAATCCCACTAAATTCTAGACTGACCACTTGGAGAGCACACAAAAGGCAAATCTGGACTGATATTGGAACTAGAGCTCACAGGGGAGTAGCCTAAACCTAACATGGTGAACTGTGTGCTGAAACATCAACAGAATGTAAATAAGACTCAGAATCTCTTAAATTAATATTTGAAATGTCCAAAAATAAAATTTAAAAATTACCTGAAATAGAAAAAAAAACATAAAAATGAATTTCTAAAAAATCTCAACTTGCATGAGAAAACAGTTGTTAAATGGCAAAGGAGTCAAAATTATCTGAAAAAGAATTTAAGGCAGCTAATATAAAAATCCAATAAATGAGCACATGATTTGTAAGCATTCTAGATACAAAAATCAAAATTAAATACAAAGAAATGACTTATAAAAATAAAACCAATTTTAGAACTAAAAGAAAATTAAAATCAAAACCCTATTAGATGACCTAAATAGCAGAATGGAAATTTAAAAAGCCAAAGCACTTGAAGTAAATCAACAGAAATTATTTGATCTGAATCACAGAAGGAAAGAAAAACTGAAAAGTGAGCAGAGCCTCAAATATGTAAGATAACAAATATCATATATTCTCTGAAGTAGAGGAATGTAGCAGTTAAAAGAAAAAAATTTGAAAAAATAAGGGCTAAAATATTCCCAACTTGCAAAAGACCTAAACCCACATAGAAAAGCACCTAAATGAACCCCAAATCAGATTAATCCAAAAAATCCACTCAAACACAAAATGATCCTACTACTGAAAATTAAAAAGACAAATCCTTGAAATCACCAGGGGAGCACTATCTATGACAATAATAATTCAAATAACTGCAGGTTTCCCACAGAATCTACAGAGGCCAGATGGAAATGGGAAAACATTCATAAGGAATATAAAGACCTGTCAACCTGGAATTCTACATCCTGTAAAAACATTTACCAGGAATGAAAATAAAGAGACAGTGAAACAGAGCAGAGACAGAGACAGAGACAGAGAAAAAGAGGATGATTCTTACTCAAAGGAAAAGTAAGAGATCCACAGACAGCAGATCTATCGTAAAATCACTGGTAAAGAATGTTCTTCAGAAAGAAAGGAAATGAGAACAGAAGGAAATTCTGAACATTATAAAGGAAGGAAAACAAAAGAAATGGTAAAATGTCAGTAAATACAGTAAACTAGTCTGTTTCAACAAAATAGTTGAAAGCAAAAACAATATTGATGGATTTTCAGTGTACAGAAATATAATATATGAAAGAGGTCCCACATTATGGTAGTTTTCTATATAGCAATTGAAATGATAAAGTATTAATTCTAAATAAATTGTAAAAAGTTATAAAAATATAGAAGTCATGAGTAACAAGAATTGATTATATTTTATAATCCAACAGCAATCATACACACACACAAACACACACACACACACATATACACAC